ACATGTCGTTTCTTATCCTAGATGTTATTCACATGAAGAACTAAAGTCTAGGACAGTCACCTCTAAGTTATGTAGTGATACATATATTCCTACTATTCTAAGAGTTACTACTATTTACAGACAAAAGTTCTTAGAATAGTAAAGCCGACGGTAGATTTAAGGACCAAGAAGTCTCATGTCTCTCCACCTGGAGACACATTAATTTGCAGAACCCACAGAATCTGCGCGATGGTCTGCTTTGGGTGGTGCGGCTGCAGGGGCTACATTAGGTTGTGGGTCATCATCTTCGTTATTGTTCAGGTTAGGGGATTCTATTGGTTGCCCCTCATGAGCCCCCGCAGGTGCCCACTGGATGTCTTGTACTGGCAATCCATTTAAAATTTCCTTGTACAGGTTAGGGTTCCTTTCAATGCTTAGTACTTGACGGAGCACCCTTAGCTGTGAAGTCAATCTGTGATGTACTAACATTTTTTGTTCAGAGGCCGGCAAGAATGGCCAATTTTGGGATACATCTTGAATTTCACGGACTATCCAATTGTAGGCCTCTATATTAACTCTAAGAGTCTGGTATTCACTAGTCGCCTCAGAGCCCATGTTACTATGAGCCATGTAAAGATTATCCCAAGATGTCATACCTATAGTCATAAAGTTAGTTATGTTGATAAAACATAATATGTCTGTAAAATATGTCCAGTATTAGTAAATTAATCCCACTATTTATATATATATATATATATATAAGTCTCATGTAAGACCTAATTCCAGGCTCTAATACCACTTTGTCACACCCAAAAAAAAAAATTCCTTTTAAAAAACAAATACCCGGGTGTGATTAAGGAATAAAGTTTACCGAATGTACAATAATCTTCCTTCCGTACGAGTACATAATCCTCACAAGATCATTTCAAATATTCTTGATACAACATAAAGAGAAATAATAATAGCAAACTCTATCCTTTTAGCCTATCTTTCAGCTTGACTTCATTTATCTGAAAAATGTTAAATAGGGATGAGCTCACCAGCTCAGTAGGTAACGTTTATCAATGACTACTAAGGTTTTAAAACAATGAATAATATAATTAAACCGCGAATAAATGCAGGAATAGGACAAAATAATGAATCAAATAAATAAATAAATTTCAGCACATATCGATCATATCAATCCGTCAATTTTTTGGTCCACACATGAACCGCCTCCGGAGAAAACTTTGGGGTCTTGCACCTTAGGAAACCCAATGTCATTCTTGCTTTTTTAGAAACATCAATACCAGAAATTATGTGGTGACACACAGGCTACCACAACAACTGATATTACTAACCAGTAAACCCAATGACTAGTAGGAATCCTGTGAATCCTCACAAGGATCACGTATCTACTATCCCTCTGCCCTCGATTATGTGCATTTATAATAATTTCATCAAAATCACAAAATAAAATCATATCGTAGTCAGACCCCACAATAAATCAAACATTAAATATTAATAATGAAATTGACATTTATTATGCAACATGGTTTCATGAGATAATTAAGGTCTCGATAAAAAAAAATTACAACATGTGCATGATAACGATTTATTTATAAAACCCCAGTTTGGCCCCATGATATAATATTACATTTTATAATTAAAAATAGATTTGATATGAAACCTCCAAATATGCATAGAATGCATCAATGATAGTAAAAGATAAAAGAAACCCTACCTCCTTCTTGACTTCTATTCGATACCGTGTACTGTGACAAAATAATCAAAATAATATTTTAAAATAACAATAGGTACTAAGGGCTTAATAATTTTTGGAGTAACAAACGAAAGATAATAATACTTAAATTTGATCTGAAAATATTTAATGCAGATTAACTTTAAATGACTCGAACATATAAAAGTTAATAAATAATAACTAAAAACTCTTATCCAAAATTTTGATCGCAATCGCAAATTCTTAGGTCAACAAAATTTTTGACCCTCTTTTCCCTCTTTCCTCTCTTTCTCCCTTCCTTTCTTCCTCCCTTTCTCTCTTTTTTCCTTATGTCGTTCAATGCTACTGATCTTGGCTATTTATAGCCAAGATTTTCTTGGCCTCCAAGGAAGTCATGGACAGGCGTCCATTTCCTCACCATGTTTTCCTTCTTTTTTTTTTTCTTTGTTGCATGTGTCTTAAAGCTTGTAAACTTTCTAAAGATGACCCCTACATATATATGTAGATATGCTTGTCCTTTCACCTGCACACACACACACACGCACACACATATATAGATATAAATATGAATATATTTGTTACAATTTTTAACCTAAGTTATAGTAATTTGACTTGTTTTCACGTGAAGAGTCCATATTTGAGGTCCATTTATTTATAAAAAAAATCTACTTTTTATTTCTTAATATAAAATCATAATTAACGACCTAATTAGCATGTCGATAATTAATTTATATACGAGTCGTCACAATACGTTTGTATGCTAACATTTGGTTTATCTACATGTAAAGGTTTATTTTTATTTTTTCTGTGTGACTGTCTAGCTTACAAGTTCTATTGTGAATAAATGACTTAAGTGTTCTAATGTTAAGATGGGAATAAGAGGTCTTCGTGACATATTATAATATTATAGTTTAGTTGTCTGTGTAACAAGCGGAAAGAAAAATCAAATAGTTGAGCCAATAAAGAGCCGGATGTCTAAGTGATGTATTTTTTTTGCATAGTGAAGACGTCAAATGGACGAAAGCGAATTGATAGACTGTGATGTCTACGTGACTAAAAGTAACCCTAGTGTTCAAGTTTGTCTTCGTAATTGAGATAAGTTAAATAAATAAAGGGTAAGTGACGGAAGCTAAATTTTTGATATAATATGAGTTGTTCAAAAAGAAAAAAAAATATCTAGAAAAGGATACATTTTATTAAGTTGTCTGAGTGACGATCGTATACTGATATGGTGATAAACTTGTGTGGTGTTTTGTCACCTGTGTGGCAAGACGGTTATTTCTATGTGAAATCATAGCACAATGAAATAGAATTTCGAGAAAAGTTATAGAACCACGAATATTATTGTGTGGTGTTTTGTCGCCTGCGTGGTAAGATAATTATTTCTGTGTGAAACCGTAGCATAATGAAATAGAATTTTGAGAAAAGATATGAAAACACGAAAATTAAAATTCTATAAATGAGCAAGAACATCACATTACTTTTTTGCTTTATCTCTGAAATCATTAATGAAAACTTACTAAAATTTGCTTGAAAACTTTTTAGGTAACATGTACACAAACTTGCAGTCCACTGCCGTAGCTAGAAGTCTAGTCAGGAGTGTTGGGAAAGGCTTGTGTCAATTTCTTATGTCTTTTAAAAAAATAATAATAATTTTGAGTTGTATATGATGTCAATATATGTATATTTACATGATAGCAGGCCTTTGTGTTGCGCGCATATGATTTTTATTTATAAAAAAATGATCATAAGATAAATATTTCTAGAATGAGTTTTCTTTAAATGTCATGTTATAATGTTTTTATTAATAGCAAGATTGCCTAAATTTTATTTTTATAATAATAGTGTAGTGGGATTAGGGTGTTACAATATAACCACCTTCATGATAGAAAATAAGTTCTATTTTATTCTTTTTGTTATTTTTTTATTACTGATATAGTGTAACAATACACTCAATATTTACTCATATTATATTGACCTCCAATTTTATGTAAAAAAAGAAATTTGAGGGAGGTACACAAAATTGGAGTTAATTGTAAAAAAAGTATACAAAAAAGAATGTAAGGTAAAAAAGTTCTTAATTTTAATACTTATTTGTTTTTAAGTACATTGGAAGGAGGTACACAAAATTGGAGTTAATTGTAAAAAAAGTATACAGAAAAGAATGTAGGGTAAAAAAGTTCTTAATTTTAATACTTATTTGTTTTTAAGTACATTATTTGAAATTTTCATATTTTCTTATGACCTTTATATCTTCCCTTGATTCATGTGTATTTTTTTTGAAAAATAGTGTATTAAACATCTCCTAATTTTATTGGAAAACTTTAATATTTCGTATTTTTATGTCCTCCCTTGATTTATGCGTATTTTTTTGGAGAATTGATTTTGTTTTCAATTATATTTAATGCATATTGATTCATGCCTATTTTTTTTTTTGAAAAGTGATTTTGTTTTCAAACTATATTAATATTCAAACTCCATAACAGTGTAACAAAACATTTACACAAAATATTATATTATTACATTTTGTCAAACATATAATTTCATTCAAAACAGTTCATTTCTGTTTTGAATTTATTACCACATACACAAAATCACAGTACACTGTTTTTGTTACAATGTGTTATTAGACTGCCTTTGTTACGGTATATTATTACACTATTTTTGTTACAATATTTGCTTAATAAATTTGTTACGTTTTTGTTATAATGTAAATAATTTTATATTTCAAATTACATAAAAAATAATTATATAAAAAAATAATTAACAAATTTTGAACTTCAAACAAAGTGATATATTCTAAAATAAACGGAATACTAAAGTTCTCTTATAAAATTATAAGATATTTAATGCATAAATATAATTTGAAAACAAAACCACTTTTCAAAAAAAAATTAGCATTAATCATAGTGCATTAGAGATTTCGAAGTAAATGACCTTAAATTTCAGCGCTTAAAATAAATATCTTGTTATAATTTTTAGTAAAAATTTTTTTACAAAATATGTACTTACGTCTTTGTATTTATGTATTTTTTTTTAACATATTTTATTTTATGTATTTTTTTACAATTATGTTTAATTCAGTGCGACGACTTCTAAGGACTCCCCCACTAACTCTGCCGAACCGGTCAGCCATCTGTTATAGCCTATAGGTTCAGAAAATAAACCCGGCCCGCCCGTCTCATGTAGCTCTGGTCATGGAGTATCCCCCAAGACAGCACATATAAACTCCGCTGCGGTCTCTCTCTTTTTCTCTCTCTATATCATTTTCAGATTTCTTTCTTCCAAGTCTTCTCATATAATGTCGGTAGGTTCATATCTCTTATCTCCTGCATTTTAACACCTCTCTCCCTCTACACATTTGTGTAAACCCTAGTTTTTTTTGTGCTTATTGTGTTGTTTGATCTACAGATCTTCGAGTACAATGGAAGTGCCCTAGTGGCCATGGTTGGGAAGAATTGCTTCGCAATCGCCAGTGATAGGCGGCTAGGTGTTCAACTTCAGACAATTGCAACTGATTTTCAGAAAATTTACAAGATTCACGATAAGCTCTTCATCGGTCTCTCCGGTCTCGGTACCGATGCTCAAACTCTGTGAGTAAACTTTATGATTTATTGTAGTGATTTTTGCTTTCAATCTATTATAAGTTTTGTTTTGACAGTAGGTTTGGTTGTTTTGGAAGGTATCAAAGGCTTGTGTTCCGGCACAAGCTGTATCAGCTTCGGGAGGAGAGGGATATGAAGCCTGAGACCTTTGCTAGCCTTGTTTCTGCTATTCTTTACGAGAAAAGGTTGGTGAAATTGCATATACTCAACCTCGAAATGACTAATAGTTCGACTACATTTATTGGGTTTCCATTTATACAACCTAAACTTGTAATTATCTGCCACTATTGTTCATCTTATGAAACCAGTTAGTGAGCTGATGTTGCCTATGAAGTAAGAGAAGATGGGTTTTATATAGAATTTTGTTTGGATTAAGTTATTGTGGTAAGCTATCTTTAATCAGTTGGTGCTTAAGACTGAATTTGGGGCAGTTATATTTAGACGGCTTACAATTTTGAAAAAAAAATGTTTTATGCTGGAAAATGATTTCCATGAAGGCCTTTTATGGGTTATACAATTTTCCTTCTCATTATGACTTTCTGAAAATTATTATTAATAAAATGTGCAGGCGCACATGGATAAACATATGTTATCGTAGAACATTTTTCTATCAATATTTTACATGTATAAGAATCATTATACATGAGAAAATGAATATAGTAAGCTTGCATGTGCGCAACTACACAGATGTAGATAAATATATAACTAGGTATATAATTTTATCTAGATGTATATGTACCTCCATGTTGTTTTAGTGCTTGTACATGCAAGTGAAACAACTTTGTTTCCAAGATTTTTTTTAGTTTGATCTCAAACAAACGAAACACTTGTTTTTTTTTTTTATCTTGAGACCCTCTTTTGTTTCTTTTGCATCTTATGTTTCTTCTTATCGTTCAAAATTCAAATAGTCAAAACTCTAACTATATTTCAATCTCTGTTATTAAGACAAAAAATTGTCTCTCTTTCGATCTCTATTGGATATACGCATTGCACAAAATGTTGAAAGAGTTGAAATAATATTTATATTCTAAGAAGCATGGACATGGGACATAAATTTGATCGAATACGGACAGCAGACACAACATTTGTCAATAAAGTAAGATACAGACACGTTGGGGACACTCTATATATAATTGTGTGTTATAAATAAATTTATATAATTTGTAACGAATATGTTGATAATAATATACTAGTAAAAAAATCAGTACTTTATGATAAGTAAATGTTATGACTAGTCGTCTAGTGTTACTTTTTAGACTAAAGCATTAGAATAGTCAAATAATCATAATTTTTTTTGTAGACAACGTGTATCTAATGTATATAGGTTAAATAATCGCTCTCATTTTTTCAATTCCTCTTGTCTAAAACTTTTATACATCTTTTGTTTTTATTATTATATTTTGAGTACAATTTTAAAAAGTCTAATTTTGGTAATTATATGTTCTCTTATAGTATAAGATACTTACGAATCAAATTTTTAAACATTGTTAGTCACATGTCAACATATGTTCATTATTTAGTAGTAGACACAATTTAAAGAAGTATCGGACACGTGTCCGAAATTAAAATTTTATCTTTTAATTATGGACACAGATAAAAGAGTATCAGACACGTGTCTGAGAGTCTTCGAAGAGGTGAGGAGTGTTGGTGTCCAACATGTGTCCGACACACATATGTCTCCTTCTTTAGAGTCTCTTTGCTTTATAGTTTATATTACTTTAGACACTATTTGTATGTAAATGTATAAAATTAAATTCAGCATATCTTACAATATACGATATATTATTTTTGAAAAACAATACGTGTTCCAATACATGTTTTGACAAGCTTTACTTGTAATCAATTACTAAAGAATGTTGAAAGCGTTTTTTGAAAAATGATTTGTCGAACAAGGAGAGTGTTTGCAAACAAATGATATTTTCGAATGAACATTTGAAAGGTTGGTCGTGTAGCTTGAAAATGCTATTACAAAAATACTAGTGTTGATTATGTGGTATACAACCCAATTCGGCTTAACAAAGTTTTGACCTAATATTTTTGGGGAGGATTTTTGGTGTTATTAGTATTTTTTTGATTGATATGAAATTCCGCAAGGGCTATTCAGTTGTATTTGAATGTTGTATACACACGATTTGGTATATTTGTGTAGTTTTCCACAAAAATATTTGAGTGTATTTGCATCGTTGTTATTGAGCCCTAGTTGCAAAATACATAACTTGGCAGTTTGTCTATGTACTTGGAATTCAAGGTGGACATTTGCACAACACCAAAAGTTATTGTTGTATCATCAATGTAGGTGGTTAAATTAAGTTACTTGAGGAAAGGAATTTATTTGAACATTATAGGGTTAATATCACTTTTGGTCCCTTATGTATGCTCAATTTGTAGTTTAGTCCTTAATGTATCAATTTTATCAATTTAGTTCCGAATGTATTCTATTCATGTTTAAATGGTCCTTGCACTGATGACGCGTTAAGTTTTTGACAGAAATGACCACGTGTTATTCTTTCAAATAGTATCACGTAATCAATACGTAATTATTTCCATCAAAAACTTAATGGACAGTCTATGCAGGGCCCATTTAAACACGATTTGTATGCTTTAGGGATTAAATTAATAAAATTGATACATTGAGGACCAAATTGACAAAACGAGTATACTTCAAGGACCAAAAGTGTTATTAACCCAACATTATAAAAACATATTTAGACTTCTACTTTGTTGTTCTTTTGTTTAATGAAGTCTGTTTGGAATCTATTAGTTCTTCTGTGTATTTTTTTTAAGGGGGCTTGACTTGTTTTTTTATTTTGTTTTAATAAGGGGTTTCATCCCCATATTTTGGCACATGGACATCCTTTCCTGCTTTAGTGTCAATATCAGTTGCAACCCCAATACTTGGTATGGGTGGAAGTGAGAGATAATTACGAGAAGCATTAGATCCCAGCTATTTGTCAAAAGGCAAATTGTATGACAATTCTATGCGTAGCAAACATATTCATGCTAGAACAATATGGGAACAAGCATTTATTGGATAATATAGGCACTGAAATTATTTGACACGTGGTTGTGGAGGTTGATCACAACGTATAACAAGTTCACGTTAGCACATTATATTGAAGTATTTATAAGAGAACCAACCCGATAGTTAATACTTTTTTTGTGAACAACATCATTTGCACTTTTGACATATTCTTCTTCTTCTTCTCACTTCCTTAGCAACATGGACAACTCCTTGAGCGTGTGATTCTCTAATTCATTTTACTTTCCGCACTTCATTGGAAGACCTCTAGAATATATTTGTAGTTTTAATGTCTTTACCATACGAAGATTCCTCCAATTTTTTATTTTAATTTTCTTTGTGATATATTGAGACTGCGACAGCGTAAGTAATTTATAAGGTTTAGTTTCTTCATCGATCTAATCTCAAGTAAACCACAATTGGTGGTTCAAAATTTTCAAAAATATATGGTAAAATCCAATTGGTTGGTAAGTAAATTTACAAGAACAGTGATGATCCTTACTTCTCATGTATGATGAAAAACAATCTATTCAGACAAAATATACCTTCATTCACAATTCTGATGACTACTTTCTACTATCTCACTACTGTGTTTCCGAGACTCGATGGAATGAGTTGGAAGTCACTGGTATGCACATTTCCAATCACTAAAGCCAGCTATATTCTTTTGACTTGCACTATATGTCTGGGTCAATAAGTACTTGGAAGTAACTCACTAATATAATTGAGTAGTACGATTGGGTATTTGTACAAGAACATGTTTTATTTTCTCTTATGAGGAATCAAGTGTAATTTCTTGCGTTTCTATTTCTTTATGTTGCTTCCATGGATTAGATCAGCAAAAGTTCAGGCTTTAGTATAATTCCATTTTCCTTGGATCAGTTATATGTCATAACTGGAAATGAAATGATTTTTGTTTAGGTTTGGTCCCTACTTCTGCCAGCCAGTGATAGCTGGGTTGGGAGCTGAAGACAAGCCCTTCATTTGCACAATGGATTCCATCGGAGCCAAGTTTGTTGATTTTTTTCTCTCTTTCTCATTTTGTCGTTATTTAACAATTTTACATGATAAGGTTCTTAGTAGCTTTAAGCTTTGACATTTGTTTAAAGTTTAGATGCTCGCTAAACAATAATATTTTTTGGGCTTTGGGTTTCTCTTCTGTCGGGGTAACAACTTGTTTTTCACTTTTTCTCGCAACTGTAGTTACCCGTGAAGGCAGTGCTACTGCAGCCAGCCACAAACACGGATATAGAGACACATACACTCACACAGGCAATGCACAAATTTATTGGGAAAACACTCCCAAACCTTATATTGATGCTCACACAATTACAAGAAAACTCAAATTCGGCCAAGGACTCTCTGACTCTATAAAATGTCTTGGCACATCTATTTATACAGAGGTGTGGTAGATGACACCCCCATCTGCCTAGGGTTAGTTACACATTCATACCTGATTTTTAGCAAGACTGTTTGGCTAGAATGTTTCTCTGTTTGACAACTGGCACGAGGTTCCCCCATTTCAGCACCTAATGTGGTAACTGGCCCTATTTGCTTGCCTATGACTAAGTTGTAGCTTATTCACCCACAATTGCCTTCCTTGAGCAGGCCTTGTGCAACAGTTGCCTTCAACTATCTGGTCACATGCATATGCTAGTTATGTGCCAACCATGTGCCCTCAATTTAGTAGTCAAGCCTTGCCTACGAGCCATCATGCATGCTGAGTCAAGTTCATGCCATGCAATTTGAAGCCATGCACCAACATCGCCTCAATTGAGCCCACTACATGTTACCAAGCTTAGTCGGGTGGTCTCTCGCCGCTATGGTTCTCACAATCTATCAAACAGCTTAGCTGCATTATATTGCTTCTAACTCATGACTTGCATTGGTGCAAGGTGCCACCAAGACCCGCCATTCTGCACCTAAGTTAATTAGGGTGTGACAAGCTACCCCCACCTGAAGTATTCAATGACCTCATTGGGATGGTAGAATGGTACTACTTGATCAAATCCTCAAACTACCACAATGTTGTCTCCTCCCAAGTAGTTTCTTCCGGTGCCTTTCCTTTCACTTGACAACATAATAAGTCCTTATATTTTTTTACTCATTCCTTTAGTCTTGTGGTCAATAATGGATTCTGCCACATTAGTGAACTACTTCATGATCGTTGGAGTCTGACACTGAATATATCTACTAGGGTCCTCTGGGTCTTCAATATACGGCTTCATGAATGCAACATGAAAAATTGGATGTAGCTTGAACCGAGTTAGAAGATCTATCCTATAAGCCAATCTACCAATCTTTCTTATGATAACAAAAGGATTGTCATAGCACTGGATCAGTCCCTTGTATTCAGACTTTCGAGGGATTTTTTTCCAAAATCAACGGGGTAAGTTTGAGCATTACTTTGTCACCAACATCGAACTCGACTGCCCTCCTTTTCTCGTTTGTCCATTTCTTCATCATCTTAACTGCCTTTGGCAAATAGTCCTTCGCGTCCTTGGTCCTCTCGTGATGGGCCCAAGCAAAGCGATATGCAGCAAGACATCTTCCTTGAGATTTCTGTTTAGCCACCTCATGTGGAGGGAGGTTGTTGACCAGTTGTCAACTCGAATGGACTTGAGCAGATGGAGGAGCTTTGATGCAAGTTGTAGCTGAATTGAGAAACATCAAGTAAGTCAAGCCAATTCTGTTGGTTTGTTGTGACATAATGCCTCAGATACTCCTCCAGCATCACATTCACTTGCTGAATCTATCCGTTTGTTTGTAAGTGATTGGTGGTGGAGAGGTTGAGTTGTGTGCCCAACAACTCGAATAAGGTCACCTAGAACCGGTCGGTGAATGTCTCTGTCGTTGACAATATCGAGCGAAAGACCTCAAAACTTAACGGTGTGTTTAAGGAACATTTGGGCTATAACTTCTCCATAACATATTTTTTGGAGCAGCATGAAGGTTGCATACTTCGAAAATTTGTCAACTATTACAAAAATCGAAGTAAAATCATTCACCTTTGGCAATCCATTGATGAAGTTCATGGAAACACTCTCCTAAGGCCAGCTTGGAATGGGGAAAGGCTCCAAGATACTTGCTATCTTTCTCCTTTTTGATTTGTCCTGTTGGAGCACAAAATAAATACACACATAGAGCTTTACATTTGCTTCTATACGGGGCTAATAATAGCTTTCGGTCAATAGAAAAAGAGTAAGGGTATGTTCCTGTCTCGGATGCCCAGACTATAGAGCATCATGACTCATGAGTCTTTTTCAATAACAATTGTTGAAGTCCACCCAACTTTGTAACATAGGGCCTCTTTCTTTTGACATAGATGACACCTTCCTTTACCCAAAACCATCGAGTCGTCCTTGTGTGCAAGATCATCCTTCTTTTGGTTATGAATCCTTTGTTGCATGTCCCTAGCAATTTGGCTAAGTGCGGCCACCATCCCATCAACAACTGGGATCTAGCTAAGTATATCAGCAATTTGATTCACATTGCCAAACTTATACTACAAAGTAAAATGGAATTGAGCAAGAAAGTCTTGTCATCTTGCTTGCTTTGGTGTCAACTTCTTCATGGAATTAAAGCAGCTTGTACCCACGTTGTTGGTCAGAATTAGGAAATGTTTTCTCAATAAATAATGCCTCCACGCGTTGACATAATGAATGACTGATATCATCTCCTTCTCATGCACCGAATATCGTCTCTCAGTATCATTCAACTTTCTGTTTTTGTATGCCACAGGATGGCCATTTTGCACTAGTACTTCTCCAAGAGCAAAATGTGATGCATCTATATGAATTTCAAAGGGCAAATCAAAGTCAAGTAGTAGCAAAATTGGGCTAGTTGTCACTTGTCACCACTGCCTTTAATTGATCAAATGCCTCCTGACATTCATAGGGCCAGTTCCAAGTCCTATCATTTCTCAAGAAATCAGTTAGCACAACAACTTTCTTTGAGTAATTTTTCACAATCTTTCAATAGTAATTTGGCAAATCAAGGAATGAACATAAATCAGTCATTTTTGCAGGGACAAGTCAATTCACAATTGTATCAATCTTCTTAGGGTCCATCTTTACTACACGTGCAAAAATAATATACCCCAGGAATGAAATATTTTTCTGGGCAAATTCCCACTTTTTAGGTTTCAAATACAACTCCGTTTCCTTCAACTTAGTCAGAGCCAACTTAAGGTGCTCAGCATACTCCTCTAAGGTCTAACTATAAGCAACTACATCATATTCATATATATCACCATGAAATGATTTAAGTACTCTCTAAAGTTCATTGGTCATTAAATTGCAAAACGTAGCAAGGGCATTTGTTAAGCCAAAAGACATAATTAGGAACTCGTATGAGTCATACCTTGTCACACAAGCTGTCTTTGTTTCGTCCCCTTCAACGATTTTGACTTGGTAATATCCAAGATGTAGATCCATCTTGGTGAACTAGACTGCCTTCCTTAATTGATTGAACAACTCATCCACGAGTGGGAGTGGATAGTTATTTTTGACAGTTAACTTGTTAATGACCCAATAATCAACGCAGAGCTGTAAGGAACCATCTATCCTTCTTCTTTTGAAACAAGAGAGGGGCTCTGTACAAAGTTTTTGAGGTCTAATAAACCCAATCTTCAATAGATCACCAAGTTGCTTCCTTAACTCCGCCAATTCTTATGGAGACATTCGATAAGGCGCCTAGGCGAGGGTTTTCGCCCTTGGGAATAACTCAATGACATGATCACTCTCCTGTCTCGGTGGTAATCTGGCTGACAATTTGTTAGGTGCCACCTCCTTGAATTCTTCCAGCAACTGTTGAGATGGCTCAGAGACTTGCAACGTTTTGGGCTCCTCATCTTCAATTAATATAACCCAGTATGTTACTTCTCCCTTTTGTTGGTCATCTTTGACTTCTAAGGCAGACAACATTTTTCTCGAGATCCGATCGATTAAAGACGGTAGTGACAATTAGCTCAATTTTGCGACTTCTGGACTTTGATTTGTCCTTTGAAGTTCATATAGATGCATCAAATTTTGCTCTTAAAGGGGTACTGGTGCAGGAAGACCATTCAGTGGCATACGAAAACAAGAAGTTAAATGATACTGAGAGGTGGTAATCAGTGCATGAGAAGGAAAGGACAACAGTCATTCATTATGTCAACGCGTTGAGACACTATCTGTTGGGGAAGTATTTCTTGATTTTGATCGACAACGTGGCTATCAGCTACTTCAATTCTATTAAGAGGCTGACACCGAAGCAAGCAAGATGACAGGACTTTCTTGCTCAGTTTCATTTTACCTTGTAGTGTAAACCTGGCAGTGTGAATTAAGTTGCTAATGCACTTATTCAGACCCCAGTTACTGATGGAGTGGTGGCCGCATTTAGCCAGATTGCAGGGGACATGATGCAGAGGATTCATGACCACACAAAGGATGATCTTTTCTGTTGAAGTAGGTTTGAGAGGGAGTGACTTGATGATTTTGGGTAGAAGAAGGTGTCCTCTATGCCAAAGGAAAGAGATCCAATGTTCTGAAGTCAGGTGGACTTCAACAATTGTTTGCTGAAAGAAACTCATGATGGTCAGGGCATTTGGGGTAGGAACAAACCTTTGCTCTATTAGCGAAAAGCTATTATTGGCCTCATATGGAAACAGATGTGGAACTCTGTGTGTGTACTTGTTTGGTGTGCTAGCAGGATAAACCGGAAAGGAGAAAGATGACGAGTACCTTGGAGCCTCGCCCCATTTCAAGCAGTCCTTGGGATAGTATTTCCACAGACTTCATTAATGGGTTGCCAAAGGTGAACGATTTTTACTTCGATTTTTGTTGTGGTTGACAGAATCTCGAAGTATGTAACCTTCATTGCTGCTCCAAAAGTTTGCTCTACCGAAGCTACAACCCAGTTGTTCCTCAAATACATTGTGGAGCATTGGGGCCTTTCCCTTAATATTGCCAGCGACAGAGATACCAGATTCACTATCCGGTTTTGGACGGCTTTGTTTGAGCTATTGGGCACACAATTCAACCTCTCCACTGGCAATCATCCAGAGATAGACGGACAGACTAAACAGGTGAATATGATGCTAGAGGAGTATCTGTGGCATTATGTCACAACAAATCAACAGAATTGGGTTGATTTACTTAATGTAGCCTAATTTAGTTTTAAATTGTAGCAAAGTTTTGTCACCAGGATGAGTGCATTCAAGTTGGCAACTGGTCAACAACCTTTCACTCTACATGAGGTGGCTAAACATAAATCTCAAGAGAGATGTCTTGCAGCATGTCCTTCACGTGGGCCCATTAGGAGAGGACCGAGGAGGCGAATGACTGTTTGGTTAAGAAAGTGAAGAGGATGAAGAAATAGACAGATGGGACTGGGAGGCTAGTCAAGTTTGATATTGGTGACAAAGTGGTGTTGAAACCTGACCCCACCAATTTGGAAAAAGATCACTCGGAAGTTTGTACATAAAGGATTGATCTAGCGCTATGACAGTCCTTTTGTTTTTACAAAAAGGATTGATAGGTTGGCATATAGGCTGGATTGCCCTAGTTGTCTCAAGTTAAATCTAGTTTTTCATGTTGCATTCCTGAAGCCGTACATTGAGGATCAGAATCACCCAAGCAAATATGTTTGGTGTCGGGCTCCTCCAACAATCAATAAGCAGCTCATTGAGGTGGCAAAATCTATCCTTGACCACAAGATTGAGGGAATGAGTAAGAAAAATAGAAGGACTCATTACCTAGTCAAGTGAAAAGAAAAGGCATCGAAAAAAGCTACTTTGGAAAAGGAGACGACATTGTGGCAGTATGAGGATTTGATCAAGCAGTACCATTCTACCATTCTAATGAGGCTGTTGGATACTTCAAGTGGGGGTGACTTATCACACTCTAATTGACTTGGGTGCAGAATAGAGGGTCTTGGTGGCACTTGCATAAGTCACGTCATGAGTTGGAAGCAAGATAATGCAGCTAAGGTGTTCGACAGGTTGTGAGGACCGTAGCGGCGTGAGACCACTCGGCTAAGCATGACAGTGTGCAGTGGGCTCAATTGAGGCAATGTTGGTGCATGACTTCGAATTGCATGGCCCGAGTTTGACCCAACATTACTTGATGGCTCATGGGCAAGGCTTGATTGCAGAATTAATGGCACATGGCTGACACATGCATGTGACTAGACAGTTGAGGGAAACTGTTGCACAAGACCTGGTCAAAGGGAGGCCATTGTGAGCAAATAAGCCATAACCTGGTCATGGGCAAATAGATATGGGCGGTTACCACATCAGGTGCTGGAATGGTGGAACCGCCCGCCATCTATCGAGCAGAGAAGTAGTCTTGTTGAACGGTTTGCTAAAAATCAGGCATGATTGTGTAATTGACCCTAGGCAGATGGGGGTGTCATTTGTCATGTCTCTGTATAAATAGGATTGCTAGGACATTCTGTAGGGGCAGATAGTCCTTGGCCGGATTTGAGTTTCCTTGTAATTGTGTGAGCATCAATATAAGGTTTGGTATTGTTTTTCCAGTAAATTCGTGTGTGGCCGGTGTGTGAGTGCATGTCCCTATATTCATGTTTGTGTGGCTGATTGCAGTAGCAATGCCTTCACGGGTAGCCTCAGTAGCGAGAGAAAGCGAAAAAATGAGTTGTTATCCTGTGATACTTGCACTAATTTTTTTACATTGTTTCCTTCCCAAATGCAGGGAGCTTGCAAAAGATTTTGTTGTTGCTGGTACTGCATCAGAATCCCTTTATGGTGCCTGTGAATCAATGTTCAAGCCTGACATGGTTTGTCAAACTCAAACTATCATGTCTTTTTTTATGGTTATTTTACTCAATTGTCAAACAATGATTTTTAACGCTTGTGGATATGCACAAGTACATACCCTAAGAGAAAAAAAAAAAGGGGGGGGGGGGGGGGGAGAGAGATTAGGGAGCACTGCAATCTCACCCATGCTCATATGATGGACTTCTTGTTTTACAACAACTAACCTGAAATAATCCGTGTCCCACGAGACCTTTATTGAAAAAGGTGGGTATCTGGGCCTCACAAGCATTCCATTTTGTGGACAGAAAAATCTTTGTGGTGGGAGGCATGGACTATAATGGTAGGATGCTAGGTTGAAGAATTGTGAGCTGATTATGTTCCGTTGGAAATTATAGTTGCAGAGCTCTCACAAGGGGCGAAAAAGGAAAGCAGAACATTCTACGAATTATTCTTTGAATTTCTCCAGGTTGCATCATGCCATTCTAGAGAACTATATTATAATAATCTTTTGAACAATCTCCTCGAGCACAGGGGCTATTGTCTAGTGTGTAGATAAAAAACTCGGACTCGTACCAATAGCAATAAGGTTGTGGGTTGCAATAAATGAAAGCGATCACTTTGTAAACCTGTTCCTCAGGGACCTCAGTTAATGGGGAGCAAAACATGTTATGGCCTTTTAGTTTCCATTAAGAGGTTGGACATCCCAAACTGCTACAACCCCCTAAATCGAAACTTTGAGACTAAAGCTTACTGAAAATTTAACAAAACAGTTTGATCAATTAGGTGATCATGTCCTACCAATGCGCCTCATGTCGACAAAAATTTGGAACAAATGTTTGTGGACTTATAATACTGAATGAATCATAAATTATGCAAACAAGCAGTATATAATTCAGTTTATAAGAACATTAAGTAGAACTATACTCAACCTAAGTTTGATTTGCAAGGCTATAGTTCAACAGTGTGATTGAGCCAAGCTCAGGGCTCAAAGTTCAAACTGAAAATATGAAATTTTCAATGAGTTGTGCCATTTGATGAGGTTTATTAAATGGGATGGGCATGAGAGAAGCAGACAAACTGAAGAAATACAGAACTTGCCATAAGTATGGCTATTTGATTGACAAAGGATTCAAGAAGGCTCTATTAGATGGATGGGAATGAGACAAGGAGATGAATCTTTATATTTGTACATAGAGTAATACACCCAGATATATAGGATTAAAAGCAGCGCAGGGTGTGTACTAGGAATAGAGGGAGGACATATTTTAGCTATTCATGCATGCTGCTGAGTTTCTAGTACTGTGGCAAGGGAGGAGAAACAAAAAACCTTTTTTGTCTGTAACATTTATTTCGAGTGGATATCCTTTCATTGGTTTTGAAGATTTGAAAGCGTACTTTTATTTCTTAATCATCTAAAATTTTGCAACTTAATGATCATTTATAATTGAAACAATAGCTAGTGACCAAGTAACACACATGGTTCTGATCATGTTTGTCTCTAAATAGTTGAATTCGTCATTTAAACTTCTTTCGCTAATCTGCCTGAATTCGTTGAGCTGTGACTGCTTGATTGTGTTATCCTATCAACTCCACATCTCATGTCCTGCTATTGTCAGTTTATTTAACTTTTCTGCTACATAACTATATAGGAACCTGAAGAATTGTTTGAAACCATCTCTCAAGCGCTGTTGTCATCAGTAGATCGTGACTGTTTGAGTGGTTGGGGAGGACACGTCTATGTTGTGTAAGCCTTTCTGTGCTCCTTTTTTTTTACATTATAATTCATTATGTGGACAAATCTATTTCTTTATAACTCGTATTGTCAAGTGTGGAGATTTGTCCTACCGATATAACTCCGGTGGAATATTGATGAGATTGTTGGTGGGCTCAATTCTCCATTTCTTTGTGCGAATATACTAGTGATGCTTGTAAGGACATGTTGTATAATTTGCTGCAGTACACCAACGGAAGTGACAGAAAGGATGTTGAAGGGAAGGATGGACTGACACTTTTCAAGGGTTAAAGACCATCTTTCTGCATTCCTGTTTTGGATACTTGGTTTTCTTCAGTGACTACTCTAGACTGCGGATAATGTAGGGTACTTCTTGTGTTCAGTGACCAAAGCCCGTGATTCTGTAGTGCTTGAAATTTCTGTCTACGATAAGATTTATCCAAATACCAAATGTATTTTTTCAATTTTCATATTTATATGCTGTTCTGATGTCTGATGTCTGATGTCTCTCCGGGAAGAGGGACATTCAAATGATTGGATTGGCCAGATGCTTATTTGTTGATGCTGTGTTCAATCTTTATAATTGGACAAATTGGGCTGGTTGCTTGTTTAACAACTGCTCGAGTATAAACACTGCAAGGTATGACCAAAAAGGCAAACAGCCGAGGCATTTACCAAACATGGAAATCTTTTAAAAGGAGGAATGAAAGAAAAGCATCTAAGCCAATACATCGACAACAATGGTCTGCTATCAATACCTAGTTATCTTACTCGATATAAAAGCAGATTCAGAATGGCTTCAATCTAATACGTTTGAACTGGAATGTATTACAAAATATGGTGCAGGAAGGATAGCTACCATACATCGGTGTTGATTTGAGATGATCTAAGCATACTAGTGGGGAGACGCCTGCCACTTGAAAAAGGGAAAGATAATCTTTACCCCTTATAATATATTATATAAAGCTTCAAAAAATTTTACATTCCCAACTTTTCATGACCACAAGAGTCTAGAGACATTTCATATAGTTTCGGGGGTAATTGGAACGATAACATCTCAAAACTATTCACTTCAAAGACACCGGTAATATAAGAAAAGCATATGCAAAGAAAGTAAACAAGCCAAGAAATTGCAACCGTCCAGTTCATTACTTTGCAGCGGCAACCATTGCAGATCGAACACGTGTGAAAGAAGCAATGAGCGATCCAAGCTGCAACTTATCATTGCACCCAAAACTCAATCTGTACCTGCAAACAAGAAATTGCTCCCACAGTTTAATTCAACCAACATACCAGTGACACTTGAATCCATCTTGATCCCACAACAAAATCCCAAAGCCTTTTTTTTTAAGTTTAAAATGAGGAAAAGAGAGGGGAGGGGGAAGGGGTAGTCACATCTTAAATTAGAATAGCTACTAAGGTCTGAAGAGTAATAATAGGCATTAAAGCAAAGGGGTTGGAATAAAGAAATTTTAAAAAGATGGGACAGGACTACGTACTCAATATCAGCCAAATCATTAATCAGCTGGATTCGAACATCTGATGGCATCTTGATCTTAAATACAAACCTGCTAGGACAATGCTAAAAAGATGAGCTCAAGCCTAAAATGTTAAGTAAAAACTAAAAAACCAGATATATAAGCACTTACATGGTTACTTCTCTTATAATATCCACCAATGCCAATCCTTTCCTTGTCTTGATTTCAAAAATTTCTATAGATAGTTAAGTATCAACAAAACATTAGACTAAAACACCAAAAACTCTTAAACAGTAGCCTACAGTTAAGAAATTGTTGCATACGTCTAAAACTAGCTGCAAAAGGCTCATTCAGAAGCCAGTGAGATATTCGCTCAATATCTTTAGGCAAAGGATTTCCAGTGCATAGGTACACAGCTTCTTCTGTTATCTGCTGATAAGCCATGTGTGTTGACTGCAGATATCAAGAAAAGTAATCAATTGTGTAATCTTGAACCACCATATAGACGATATGGAGACATCAATACACAAGGAGGTCAAGTGAACCCTACAATCTGTAGCCTGAATCATCTTACATATCATTAGGGAGCTGTAGTTCAGCACAATAATTGAAGTTAATAGAATGAGGATTACCAACAAAAAATATTTAGGGGTAACTCCAATACTAAATCAAATGTTTGAATAATGCGTAAATTCATTTCTTGGAGTGGGTTGAGAGTTGGGACTATGGTTAGATGACAGTTTTAACATTTGAAGATGGTGTCAAACTCATTTGGTGAATTGAACCCAATTGCAAGGCATGCCATTTCAGATAATACCAAATAAGCAAAGGTAGCCATTGCAAATATTTTGATCTCGAACAAGAGAATTAAAAAAAATTGAATTGCATGAAATTTCTGAGGTAAATGGTGATTCATGCATAAGGACTTAGTTTAACTTACAGCTATAAATTTCCACCAAATGACACTAGTGTACAAGCAAAAGCATTAAGCCCCAAAAATCTAATCTGCGCTTGTATTGCAACTAAGCTACATCAACTACAAGAGGGGCCCAACATTTAAAGTCCAGATATCCCTCCACCGACTACCCTTTTGTTCATGTTGCAAAGAATCTGATGCAAACAATAATGGCTACATATCTTCAAACACAAGAAACTAAACGTCCTGTTACACGGAATCTTTGCCGCATCATAACACACCACAAAAAGAAGACAAGCTGTGCAAACATTGAGCACCCATTCTCTACGTTTATATTATGAATAGGCCAATAGGCACAGTACAATATAGCATAATGAAAATAATTATAATGAGGATAGATACATTTGCCTGAGAAGATACAGAGTAAGAAATTCGAAAACCTGCAAAATGTTCAAAGCCTTCCTCATATCACCATTGCTAAGCCGTACAAGTGCCTTTAAGCCACTCTCAGGTACATCAAGCCTAGATCATTAAAATGGTGTCAAGAGAATATAGCTATAAATCCATAGGCCTAGTCACCGAAGCTACAATCACATAGCAATATTTACAGCCTTGAGTCTCCTATTCTTCTTACAATACTGAAGCAACCAACTAAAACCTGACTGGCATTGCTCATATACATGTAGTCAAATTTTCTTTCAGAACTGAAGCAAAAGAATGCCAGAGCAAAAGAATGCCAGAGGGGGCACAATCCCATGTAGATGCAAAGTACAAAATCTGAAATAAAATCAAAATCCTACAAAATCCTTATCTCTCACATAGTCTAAGAATGCATATCTATGTGGCCCATGTATCATCATTCCAATTTATGCACAAACAATACAAGCAAATCCACTATAAACCTATTCAAGGACTTGGTCACATCAATGCGTACCCCAGGCATTTTGCAACTATGTAAACCAGATTTTAATCTTTATACAAGAAAGGCAATGCCATTTGTATCCGATGCACCACCATGCACGTATTCTGAATGATCAACAACAAAACAGGAACTACTGTTACTGTATGGCCTAATACAGTAGACTTTTGTTTTCTTTATTTGGTAGTTGGTAGATGCCACATAACTTACTCAATGCTTTGTCGTGATATGGCATTGTTTTTCATACATCACAATCCTTTGATCTGTCAAGAACTAGTATTAAAGCTTTGCCATGCTATAGGAGTGTGTCAGAAATCAGAACCCACATAATGCAAATCTCCCTAAAATAAAACATACAAGTAAAAGAAGCATATGATATCCAACTAACATGATAACGATCTTATCTATGCAACCCCAAACTTGTGACTCATATGCAGTAATAATAAAGATTTCCAAGAGTTGGACATATACAGATCAGTAATTTTCGGGACTGAATTACTACTAACTATCCCTATGAAACTGATAATCTAAGATAATGCGTAGACATATATCATACTAACACGTCAACCAAAAATCATATATACATGTAAGTTGTAACCAGGATTCAAAATAAAGACACCAGAATTTTTTTTTCCTCCCTTTTCTGTTAGGATATACTAACAAAAAGAGAGTACAGACAGAAAGAACAGCACATAAAAGTTGGCCACAAACAAAAGTAGGGAACTTACCTTTCAGCCTCAATGACGTGTTTAAGTCTCTCTCTGACATGAATATCCTCAAGAGGAGCAAAGCGAAATCGGGTACACCTTGACTGCAGTGCTGGAATAATCTTGTTGACGTGATTACAGATAAGAGCAAACCTAGTGTTCTTTGTGTATTTCTCAATAACTGCATTATAACAAACATGAGACAATTGGTTCTGAAAAAGTAAAATTGTGTTTGGAAGAAAATATCAAGACAAATTTGTACCTCTACGCAGAGCAAATTGAGCATCCTTTGTCATGGCATCTGCTTCATCCAATAGGACCAACTTCACAGAGGCCTTTGCACTGGGGCAAAACAAAGAAACACAGAAAAAAGAATGAAACACACTAGTCCAGTGACTTGTTAAGCCAAAAGCAAAAATATTAACTAAGTTTTAAGTAGCAAACAAAAATAATGCAATGTAAAATCAAAATGAGAGCATGGAAGCATGACACCTGATCATTATGACAACCTTCTAAACTTTTTTATGACAGTTGCAAAAGTTTTGCCTAACACAACTTTGTTGTTGCCACACAGCATCAGAACCTATGTTGCTCATCAAATTTTTCTTAGATGTAGCCCCTAAGAGTAAACCACAGAAATCACTTGTCATGTCTAACAAATGAGCTTATCTATATTCTCCACCTTTTCTTCGTTTTCTAACATAAGATCATTGGTCTTATGAAATTATCAGAAACAACGAAGTAGTTGCCTCAGATATTTCTCTCAAGACACCAAACACAGGCATACATCCATCATAGACACATACAATTTATTCACTAATATTTATATTATACCTGTGAAGTCATTTGGCTGCAAATGATCAAAGTATAATGGCAAAAGTAATGCAAGGACATGGACATCCAAGCTTGCAAGGAAGAGCTTTGAAAATACCAATTTGAAACAACTCCTTGTAGTGTATAGACTTTTAGATTGAAAAACATGCACATGCATTTAGAGGTTGCAAATATTTCCAACCCTTCAAGTATTCTATTTGAAAACTTACTATCTGAAAAACTAAAAAATTCTTTGAACAATCAAACAATAAAACCATGGCATTTTCATTTAAAAAGGGATGCCATTTTATATGTGCAAACATTAGTGGTTGGTGATCACTTTTCTACGCAATAAAATGTTCAAATGATAGGCATGCGACCTTATATAGAGTTCACATAGAGCGTGAACATTTGTGTAGCATAAACATACCCCACCATTTAAGAGACACCCACCACGTGCACCACTGGTAGCAAATATTCAGAAATGGTGCAAAGTTAATGGCTTATCAAAAAATATTGAAATAAATACTATTCCTTTGAGTGTAGGTTGTGAAATAAGCATTGCACCTAACGGGAAAGGGGAAGTTACTTCCAATAAACAATTGATAATCTACAAAACTGAAATATAGACACCTGTGCATGCAGTTTGTAAGACAATGTTCATTTATCAAGATGAAGGAAATGATAGACTAAGCAGACGCCAAAACAGTGAGTAGCTTCATAAATAGTGTAGTGACACAGATTGATTAAACTTAAAACTTACCCCTTAATAGAAATACCTTTCACTCTCATTTTATTCTTATTACAAGTCAAACTACCCAAATTCAACCAACACCAAACAATATAAATTAGCCATAGCACTAGCACAAATCAAATATATGCGCAAAAGCACTTACATGAGCAGTGCACATCCACACATCATCTTCCAATAGCACCAATACAAAATGGGACAAATGACCAATATAGAACAATGATTTACCCAAATGAAAAGCTCTGAGTGCTAGCAAAATCTTGAATCTGCTGTCTTACGACATCAATTCCACGAGCATCCGATGCATTTAGCTCCAAAACCATATTACGCATCTGTGACCCATATAGCTTTCTTGCAACAGCAAGAATTGTCGACGTCTTCCCTGTACCAGGCGGCCCATATAATAGCAAATGTGGTAATCTGTTTTCGCTCGTAAGCCTGTCGACTGCCCCCAAAAAAAAGTCACAACAAATATATACAAAAGCAATAAGTGCATACGCACAAACATGCATACATGTATATGAAACATGATGCATTGAATTCCTAGAAATTGCATAGGTGAGAAAGAGAGAGAGAGCATACAGTAGCAAATGAGACAATCTGTTCAATCGTTATGAGATGAAATTTCACACATAAGTGTGTAGACATATTGTCAAGTATATATGCGCACGGAAACACAGACATATATGCACGTGTTTTGGTGTTCCTCAACCCCAAGTAATTCCCCAACCTTCATTAACTTTTTGGCATCTCGTGTTCAACCATATCGAGTACTACCCCACATTTTCCTTTTCTTTCACTAGAGTTAGTTCCATTACTCGAATTCTAACCCTCTTAATCTTAGAGGAAATAAATTCCTAACAACTCAAATGTTATCCTAACTAATCCCTCTGTAATTACATATTTGAAACCATATCACAAGTTGAGAAACAAGAAAAATGGCAACTAAGGGACCTAGTTCTGTATGAATCAACCAAAACTAAGATAAAAATAAAAGGGCTTCCTGATATATACTACAGCAAGCAAGCCTAGAAAATCCACAAGTCAATACTCCAGTTATCCTTAAAGTAGTCTTAGCTGTACTGTGAATATTCCCTGCAAGAAAACAACTTAATAAATCTATTTTACACCCTTGATTTCAAGTAAACTGTAAAATATTCTGTAGAGGCTTGTTCTCTTCCCCCTACAACTTCCATTTCATACTTGTTTCTCCCTATCATTGATCCTAATACTTCGCCAAGCTATAAAGCCATTTATTGTTTGATGAAAATACGTCAATATTTACATGAAGATATGTAGACATGGAAATGTAAATCACACACTAGTGCATGTAAAATATGGTTCACCCATTAATGGGACCCTAGAAATCGAGAGAGAGAGAGAAGGACAGAGCATGTGTCTGTAGAGAATCAAATGTGAAAATCTGCTGTCACACAAAACCCATCAACTGTTTGACAAAAATCCTCGAAGAATAGAACTATTAGAGAAAATCTGTGTATGTTTGTGAGCAAAATGTAGTTTTGGTAAAACCTCAGTAGAAATCGAGAGAAGGGGGAAGAAGGGATTTACTGGTGTCGACGATGTCTCTGTGAGCGGCGACGTCGGCGAGCGACTGAGGGCGGAATTTTTCGACCCAAGGTGTGGCTATGGAGTCAGGTGAAGCGGAAACGACGACGCTTTTGCCCTTGTAGTTGTTCGATTTAAGGGAATGGCTGTTGTCGTCTTCGTTGTCGTCGATGTCCATGAGAGAGATTAACTCAGCCATTTTTGCGCTCCGCTTACTTTGTTCTCTCTCTCTCTCTCCAGTGATTGCGCCTCTGCGTTGAGAGGTGTGAAAGCGCGGCCGCGGACGATGGTATGTGATGGCGCCAAAAACCGTGCATATAATTTTTCTTTTTCATTTTTGCCATAGAAATAATAAAATAGGTAAATTACTAAATTATATACAATTAAAAAGAAAGTTGAATAATTATTTGTGATAAACTGAAAAATAATATCGATATCTTATGAGCAGATAATAGAGTGAAAAAGAGAGTTATAAGTAATATTTTAGAAAATCAAAAATCAAAAATAAAAGGTGTCATAAATATTTTAAGGGTAAACTTCAAATCTACTTTTCTATTTTTACGACTAAGCATAAATCCCTATTTTGATTTTATTATTTATTTTATCATTGTTTATAAATACACACAATTTCAAACCGATAGATTTCGATACTATTTTTTTCATTGAAAGAACGTCTAACTTTTTTTTTTTAACACAAGTATGATTTTAAATCCACATTTTTTCGTCTAACTTTTTTAAATTTATCGATATAAAATTTTATATTGAGTGTATGCTAAACATGTTGCTATATTAAAAAGTATAAATTTAAACCATACTTATGAAAATAGAAATAATAAAATATGATTTAAAAACATGATGGAAGAGTTTACACCAATTGCAAAATATAAAATGTAGGTGCATAACTTCCATTTTCGCACATTCATCAAATACAATACAGCTAATCAAACAATAATAAAATTGCATGAATATCAACAAGAGAATATACACTAGAAATATGTGATAATATAATATATTATTTTTTACAGAGTACATAATCTGGGGCGGATTTACAGTGAGGGTATTTGAAATTTGAAAATATTGCCCCCCCCCCCCCCCTGAAAATATTTTAAAAGGCTTAAGGGAAGTTTTGAAATTTTGATAAAACCTAAGGTTCTTTTATACGGCGTAGAGTTAGGTTTAAAAAAAAAAGGTCCTTACGTTTCTTTTTAGTCTTTCGTTCGTATGTTTCTTCTTTAGCATTGATCATCCCATCAATAATAAAGCCATGAGAGGTAACTCATACTGCGTGTAACTTGATTCAATACGATACGCAGGTAACTTGACTTAGTTTAAAAAAAAAGTCTGTCCAGATTCAGCCATTTGACATAGTAGTAGTCTCAAGGCAAAGAATTCAAACCCTTGAAGCTATTCTTCCCTCCAAATGTTTTGTTTTTCTAATCGTTGTCAATTGGTTTTGTACGATGATCAAGTTGGGGTGCTAAATTTATTTTTCATAGATATTTTGTTTTTCAAGCCTCTTTATTATAAGAATTCCAATTAGGGACATTTTGGTCATTTTAGTAGTTCACTCACGGACTCACATTAATAAGTGGGCACAAATTATAAAATGTGTGAGGACTAGAGTATGAACCCCATAAGTTTGATTTGTGATGTTATTGGCAAATTCCTGGTTTTGCAGATAGCCAACCAAGGCATCAACGCGACAAATACTAACAATCATCGTATTGTAGATAGTGGAACACCATAATTATTACGTCGTACAAAAATCAGTTGTCACCCAAGCGAATGCAACATCCACCACTTAAGAATTTGGTGATGATTAGGACTAATCTAACCAACAACATGAAGCCACAACTAGCGGTACACTCTTGTGAAGCTCAAGTTGGACTTACAAACTCCCTCTTGAACTTATCGAGTGTATAGCAAGTCTGTGTGGCATACAAGAGTAATCCTAGAATACTAAGTGGACTGATGTATACTTAAAGAAAGAGAAATGGCCATGAGATTGTCTGTAAACATGGAAGCCAAAGCTTATTTGGATGGATGGGTATTTTGGTCAATTGACCTCCACCATCTCTTCTAAATCTTCGAGTGTTGAGACTTGCTGTAAACATGCTTGAGACTTGCTGGTAACTCTTCCGAATAATGTCTTTGTCACAATACAACCTAGAGTTAAAGCATAAGTTATGAAATGGTCAATATTTAGTTCTTTGATACAGAGACGGTAATTTTGGAGATTTTATATCAGACTTTTGTTGACATAACTAAAATTTGATAGCACTGCTATGGAAATTAAAGAAAAGGGCCCCATAACTTCTCAAACTTTATAGGATTCATATGATTTAGTGACAAATGTCAAAAAGTAAGAGAATTTAGTCGGGAGCGGAGAGCTAATTGAGTTTAATGAGTATCACCCTAAACTAGCCCCGAAATCCATGGCCAAAAGAGTCAATAGAGCATTAATGACAATCCTCTTTTGTGTCCCTTTTTTTAATTTAATTTGATTTCATCGCTTCTTCTACTTCTTGTTTTTTTTTTTTTTGTAAAATTTAGAGGTGTTCAAATTTTTGATTACTCGCAAATTTCGACCCTATCCTACCCTACCTGACTCTATTAATCGACTATTTGAAAAAATCGAGTAGGCCAACAAAATTTTTTTTGGTATTCCACAAAATAACGGGTATGAATGCGGAATACTTACAAAATTTATGTATTCCTACCCTACCCTACCCGCATATATATATATATATATATATATATATATATATATATATATATATATATATATATATTGATGTTTTATTGATGTTTATGGATTTCTTATATATGATGTACTGATGTTTATGACTTTCTTATATATAATGTATTGATGTTTATGACTTTCTTGTTGTGTTTTATTGTAATAGTTTATGTATTATCTAATTTATTGTATTTTTTTAGTGTTATTGGTTTATTATGTTAGTTAATTGGTGCAGATTATTTAATTAAATTGTTAAAATTATCCAAAAATTAATAACTAAAAAAATGTGATTACCGATTTCTTACTTGACTTCCTATTCGATTGTTTTAGATAGAATTCGGGTAGGAATAGTACATTTGATCGGGTAGAGTAGGTCAAAAAAAAATTTCTTCCGTAAAATATCAGGTAAGAAGATAAAATATTATAATTACTACTCGTAACGTAGGGTGAACACCCCTAATGAAATGTTGAAAAATCATATGAATCACACATCCAATGAAAAAAAAATATTGTAATCGATTTTATATACAGTGGACAGGTTTATTAAAGACCTAATAGGCTACATAGCGATCCAACACTATCTAAATTGTTTGGTGGTATATTTTATGTTTATATTGTTAATTCTTCACCACATAAAAATGGTTGAATTACATGTATATTGATGGGGTATTAAACGTGGGAGAGAAGAATGAGATATGTATGAAAAAGGTTTCGTTTGAGTTAGTAGGCTTGTTGCGATTAAGATAAGATTCTTGATGAACATGAGATGTTTTACACAGTGAAATTATAGTGGTTCACCAACTCGGGAGCCCAGCTAATTCACTCTTCAATGGAGTTTATTGCTCCTTGGATCTATATTAACAGCTTACAAAACATACAAAGTGTTTTTGATACAACGAAGGTCACTTGTCTTGCATTGAAGGCATTTTATAGTATTTATAGCTTAATTCCTGTCTCTATAGAGTCTCCGGTGAGATCTTAGCAGGATCTCCCTTAATCTTGGGAGAGAATCTTAGTTAGTTAAGAGATTGGTGCCGTGATTGTAGCTTTATATTGCTTCGGGGTTGCTTTCAGTTATCTAGTTGTCTCCCTGGCAGTTCCTTATTTGTTTCATTTGAGAAGGACTCGAGGTCGGGGCCACTGAGCTCTGGGCATCCTATCCGACTTCCTTATCTGAACTCACCTCTCGAGCTCATACTTAGGAAAAATTCTTCTCAGGTATAATCAATTGCCCCCCAACCCTTGGTCCAAGTGGACTTGAATATGGGCTAAACTAAGGTTGGACTGAGATAGATTTCCCCATGGTGACCTCGATATGCACGTGTGACAAGTTTTTTACGGTTATGAGTAATCATATCTTCCTTGATTTTTGCGCACGTTCCCTACTTCGAGGTTTCACATCCCGTAAGCCTTAAATGCTTCTACACTGATGGAAAATGCCTCATATCTCTTTTCAGGTCATCTTTCTAGGCTTTACTCCTTCCTTTCCTTGCGATTTCCATTTCCTAATCCTGCTGGTGTTCCTAGGGTTTTGCAGAGAATTGATTTCCCTGATTCGACTTAAAGGTTCAACAATACTCGTTCTTTGACTTCGTCTTGAGTTTTGGCCCACCATACATCCTCATCTATGTATGGTTCCTGTCCTTTGTCCATCTCTCCATTTTGGATCCCTTGAATCTGCGACAATTTCTATATTTTTGGATTTTTTGATTCTGCTATTTTAGAAATCGGGGTTATTCCTTGTCTCGTCTTCCCCTTTTCTTGGACCCTTACTCTGTAGCTAGGGTCTTTGTCATCGATCACTGGTGTCTTGCCCCCTTGACCCTCAGAGAGTGCTTTTTAGAGGTTCCCCCTCTCTATAGGTCTTTTAAACTTCCTTTTTCTTGCCCATTTATGTCTACTTCTTCTGAAGCCATAGGTTTGTATATTTCTCTGTTGGGGGATAGGTCTGCTGAGGAGAATATTGATTTTGGAGATGTGGGTGAGGAGATCGATAATTTTCCAAGCGTTGATTCTATCGATGTTGAGGTAAATGTCGAGGAGTCTCCTTATCCATTTTTCCCTACGCCTAAAAACCCTAGTAAAGGTAAAGCCAATGTGAGTGGCGTAGGGATCTCTGGTAGTGCTGAGGGTGTAGGGGCTGCTTCTAGAGCTACTGAGCTCGTAGTTTCTAGATCTCTCCTTCTTATTTAAAGGTTCTAGCTGCTCGTTTTGGCTTCCCTTTGGGTGTACAGTGCTGGAGCCTAGATATATATACCCGATATGACTCCTCCGTTCCTAAGAAAGTTTGTTTCTTCATGGCCACTTTTGAGAATGACCTTTGTTTTTCCATGCACCCTTTTATTAAGAGTGTTTTGCAACACTTCAATGTCTGTCCTGGTTAACTTTCTCCTAACTTCTGAGGTGTGCTAATGGGTCTCCTTGTTTACTTCAAGAAACATGAGCTTGAGGTTCCCACC